AAAAAAAACAAACAGAGAAAAAGAAGGAAAAAATTATAAAACAACCAAAAAATTTGTTCTTTTTTTTAAAAATAAAAAACCACATGGTGCAAAATCACTAGTTCCCAGGAGCCATGGAGGAGTCTTCTTTGAAGGCCTGTCCCTTGCCTCTCCTGGATATGGGAAGGGGAAAGGGCATTATTAAAAAGGAAAAATTAATCAAAAATGAGAAGACAGAGACAGAGGCAGAGAGAGATAGAGACAGAGAGAAGGCTAGAGGGGCTCCCTACCACTTGAGTTTGTGGGCTAGAGGTTGAATTATCAGTAGAAAATCTTCATTTCTCTTTTTTCCCTGAAATCACTAGTTCTCAGGAGCCATGGAGGAGTCTTCTTCTGAAGGCCTGCTCCTTACCTCTCCTCGCCAAGCATGATTTTCAAGCCACCAGGTCTGGAACTTGAAACATGGTCAGCTGTGTGGAGGTCTAGTGCCTTAATCGCCACACCATATGCTGGCCCTTACTTTTTTTTTTTTTTTTAATGTGATTGTGAGGTACTTACTTACTTGTCTGTCCTAGTATTCCTACTAGCGATATTCCTTCTCTTAACTTTTCTGGCTACTTTCTCTATGATTTTTAAATTTTATTTTATTTACTTATTTATTTTTAGGCAGGGTCTTGGTATGTTGCCCATGCTGGCCTTGAACTCATGATCCTCTTGCCTCAGCCTCTGTTGTAGCTGGGATTCAGATTTGCACCACAGTGCCTGGTTCCTGATTATCCATAAACATTCTTTTCATGAAGTTTTAGCATCATTCCCCATCTCTGCTTCAGCTGTCCTCTCTGAGCAGTCTCATCTGCTTTGTTGCCGTTGTTTGCCACTGATGTCCATTCTCCTGGCTTTACTGAGTGCAAGATGCCTGCTTGACATTTCCCCCTGCCTTTGCCCCAGGAAGCACAGATCCAGCGTGTCCAAAAAAGGACTGCTTTCTGCAGCCACTCCCAAAACAAACCAACAAAAAACATATTCTTCCTATATTCCCAAGTTACCACCTTCTCAGTTATCTTGCCATTTCGCATCACTCTGGCATTTCTTTGGTCACTAAAGGATTTATCAAGTCAATATCTATGCTTCTCAGATGTAATTCTTATTTATAACCATTTTCGCACTCATTATCTAGTTCAGGCTTTTATTATTATTTAGCTAAGACTATTTTTTTTTTTTTTTGAAGAGGTTTTTGCTATAGTGACTGGGGACT